TTGATATTTTATTGTAATAATACATACAAAGGGATTTGATACAAATTCTTTCAACTAAATAAATCCTCTCCTTGTTATACAAACAATGAATACAATATGATTGTCATAATAAATAAATTGAGATAATTTACGAAAATCTTTATTGTACATATAATACATATGAAAATTATAAAGACACATACTCTGAGTAATCTACCAGAGCTTTAATGTTAGATATACACTGATTACAATGTTTATTGAAGATGAAGCTTTCATGTTTCCTAAAACATTTAAAATTTTCATTCTGCATATACATATTGAAATCAAAGACACTGTTTTGAATTAGAATCTATCTGATTCTCGAATAAATTTCTGGACACTACAGAAAATTTGAATATTTGCATCGATAGACAAAGATTCGTTTCCACGTAATAAAAAAAAAATGAGTGTCCGTTATATTGCTGGTTAAGTTGAAGAATAGTGTTTATTAAGTCATTTCCTGGACGTTCATATTTCTTGCACACAAAGAAAAAATGATAAATGTCTTCAGTTTGGCCGCAAGTACATTTGGGGGAAGAAATTATATTTCTCCGATATAAGTCGCTATTTAGGATACAATTATGTCTTAATTTAGTTTGAATTATATTCCAAGAACGTTTTCCATATGAAAAATAAGAAGGAGGTTTAGAGGATGGTGTACAAATACTTTTCTTAAATTGATTGATGGACTTTAATTCCCCCACTCCCAGATTGAGAGAATTCCAGTTGTTAATTACGTCTCGGACAAAGGGTTTTTTTAAGAATTCAAGTCTACATTTCGGAATTGTGTAGTTTTCTGTATTACGAGTATTGTATGATGAAATGTTCCCTCGAGTATTTGGAAAAATCTCTTTTAAGTAATCAGGGACAGTGTTATTATGTATTTTAAACATTGTAGTTAATCAAGCTCCCTTCATTCTCTCAACAAGAGATTCCCATCCCGCTTCGGAATAGAGCGGTTCACTAGAAACAAAAATGGGGAGACCTGTAATGATTCGTGCGGCAGTAAGCTGAACTTTTTCTAATTTTTCAATATTATATTGTGTACATCCATCCCAGACAATTTAACGGATGCATATTCAAGGTGAGGCCTAACAAACGCGATGTACATTTTAGAAAGTGTGTTACGTCCAAGAGTGAATTTGAGTTTTTTCAAAAGACCAAGTTTTTACTATGCTATTAATGTATTCAGACCAACTTAAGTCTTGTGAAAAAAAGTAGTCCAAGATGTTTATGCGTGGATACACACTCTATTTGACATGGTTGAAAATATAATTTTAGAAGCTCAAATTTTTTAAGTGTAAAGAATGTAGCTTTGGTTTTTGAAGGATTAAATTTTAGCAACCATTTTTTAGATCACTCGTCTAAAACTTCTAGATCGTGATTAATATTATATTCATATTATATTCAATGTTAGCAACATTTGACGAAGAATTTTGCATAGAATTGTCATCTGCAAATAATCTACAAAGTGATAACATGTTTTATGAAACATCATTAATATATATTAGAAATAACAAGGGACCAAGGACTGAGCCTTGGAGTACACCGGCATTAATAGCCTTGCTAGAAGACAAAGTATCTTTGTACATAACTTTATGAGTTCGATTGTTCAGGTAACTTTGAAACCATTATATATGTATAAGATAAACGGGATGACTTCAGCTTTTTAATCGTCAACTTTCCTTATTTATGTAGCAGTATTCCAATATCAACTATGGTGTTTATTTATGTCTCCAAACTGATTCGATCCGCAAGAGCATGCTTTGACTACGATTATTTAATAAAACGAGACAAGCTACTGAAAAAAAGTTGATGTTACAAAGATATCAATTCCCCTGTCTAAAGCCAGTATTTAGCAAATTATACGGTCGATATAATGACTTAGTTTGTAAATACAACCTATCATTGCATAGTTCGTATTTTGTCTGATATGTTTCATACCAATGTTTAGGTTATTGTTTTAAATTAACTTTGACTGCGTCTACCTGATCAATACACAGGACTTAAGCAGGTGTAACTGGTAGACAGGTGATGCTTACTAGTCATTCTATAAAAACATGCCCAATTAAGATTTTTTATGTCGCTTACAAATTTACCGTTGTAATATCTTAACTATAATTTTAAAGATCGATTCAAACTCTAAAACTTAACATACATGCATGGTTTTGTAAGCATTTACCGATATACATGCATTTAAAGTTTTGATATGAACACAATATAATGTTGAAAACGTAGTCTATTGCAAATCTTAATGTCGCTTCATTCATTTACAAATTTCAAGATAAAATTTTCAGCCGTATAAGGGTTCTGAATAGATTGCAATGTATGCTAAATGTTTTTTCCCCTATATAAAAACAAACCAATTCTCGCAAAGAAATGCATGAATCTTCTTTCATACGCTGAAAAATAATTAACTTCTTTAACGATTTTGTTTATATTAAACGCACAGAATGCAGATTTCAAAAAGAAGTGAATGTTATCTGAAAGTGACCCTGGAACCTAATATCATCGATTCTAGTTGCGACTCTGCTACTTTAGACCATTACATTTTCGACATAACAAAACGAATTAGACAATTTAAACAGTTGTCTCTCTTAAAAAAATAACTTCCGTAAGGGTTATTCAGGAATGTTTTTGCATTAAAGGTATAAACATTTTTATTATTCGGGGAGCGAAATGCTTCATACTTATGTTTAACATCTTAAAACAAATTTTGATTTTAACTATTGCCGAGGATTTCAACCTTAATTGATGGAAATTAACATCCGTAACGATTAACTTCCGTAACGTTTAACTTCCGTAACGTTATTTTTACCGAAATTTGAACTTATCGGATTCATGCCAGACTTCAAAAATCATACTTCAGCATTCTATACTGAACATCAGAAGACGAAAATTTGATCAAATTCAGCGTTATTTGAAAAATAATAAGACTTGTTCAAACATTAACTTCCGTATCAATGGTAAATTGAAATTGATGTATACCAGATTTGTGGACAATTCTTTTGTTTCAAGTTCACTGATATGTCCTTTAGAGAATTATGATGTTCAATTTGCTATTTGAAACAATGATTTTTTTTCATGTTTATACCCTGAATCGGTCCTTTTATCGTAGAATGACTGTTACTTCTCCTTGGCACACGTTCCACCCTCTGATAATTCCAGGGGTCTGTGTTTTGCTAAGTTATACTCCTGTGTATAATTTAACTTTTTTTCATATCTTTCTTTATTAGTTACATTAGAAACTAATATAATTGATTACGAACTACTTTATTATTGTCAACCATTACAACATTTGTAACCTTGACCTTATTGGAGACGACATATATAGACAATGCCTGATGTCCAATCCAGTTATGTAATTGACTTTCTATGTACATAATAAAATATTGATTAAATTAAATAAAATTAACAAGTTCAGTTGCTTATTTTCTCTACTTTTTGTTATAAGTATGAACCAGTAGAGCTAGAGTCTCGTCAGAGACTTCTGATTTGGCCATGTAGTCTTTAAAAACCTGTTTCCATCATGCAAAAATCAATTGCATCGGAGATAATATTTGGGATAAAAATAAAATATTATCTGATGGTCTTCGTAAGTCAAAATTTTAGCTTACTAATCAGATTTTGTCGTCTGATGGTGGACGTATCAATATTTTTCAAAATGTTTAAAATGAGAGGAAACCCAAGTGTCTACACAACTACTGAGAGTGTGTTTTAGAAAAGAAAATAAGGTATGTACGTTAAAGTTAAAAATTTTATAAATGTAATTTTTCTTTGCTAATCATCACAATTAAACCTTAATTAGTATTAAAAAAATCTTTAAGAATTACATTCCGATAGAAACATTACGGTGTATGAAATGCTGCATTTTTTAAAAGATGAAGATTTTTTTTCAAATAAGAATAAAAAAACATTAGATTCTGAATCAATAAGTAAGAATTTCACCTTGTAAAAACAAAGATATTTTAGTGTTCATTACAATTCTGTATTTTTTCATGTTGTTATCACTGTATAATACACAAATAAATAAACCGGGAGATATTGAATCGGCGTTAAAATTGATCTTTCTTTAAAATATAATGATCAGAATACGGTGTACATGTACTCGGAAGAAAATCCTTTGTCAGTATAAAAGTGGCAAAAGAGAAACATAAACCTGCGTTGAAAACTTTTAATTTCTTTAATGAATAAAGAATTAGCGTATAACAAAGACCTTTTTTTTGAAAATAAAGATTTTGACAAAGAAGTTGGGTGAACAAGGCGGGCGAAGTGTCTATAGTGCGACAAACATGAAGTGAAAAATAAAATCTCAATTATATCAACATTTTCTTATTTATTTCATCTAACATCAAAGTATACTTTATGTAAAATCTCTTCTTTTTACAAAATTCTCACAAAGACTGAAATTATTTGCTATGAAATAGGATACACACACTAAAGAGGACAAAAAGGATCATTTTCTCATACTTTAACAAAATTTTTCGATATGAGTGGGTCTTCGCTCCATTTTTTTTGAAAGTTAATCCTTAAAGTTTGCATAAAAATATACATTTTTTGTTTTACAAAAACATGGAGCAAAGACCCACTATACCTTAAAAAATACACTTTTATGACAAAGCATTCGCATTTTCCCGAGAAATTCTTGAAGTCCATTAAGTCAAGGGTCATATCACAAACATGATTTAAATGCCACTATTCATCAGGAGCTGTGTAGCATAGTGGTTAGCGTGTTAGTCTCAAAGCATTAAGATTTTTATTGTTAGGGGTTCGAATCCCACGAATACCTTTTTATTTTTTTAATAAAAGAATAATTTTTTCCGAGATCTTTTTTCCCCAAAAAAGTTTTGTTGATCATAATTTCATGAAATTCAATAATGAGAGCTTTACTTTAAATACTTAATTCACAAATTGAATGTGATTTTTTTTAATATCTGAAACTATAGGCATTCTGCACGCCTTGTTCACCCATCTTCTTTACTGTGCACGATATTTATTTTTTCTTCAGATGCGCACTGTACTTATTGTAATCGTTTGTGTTTCTGAGCTGCTGTTAAGTGATGGATATATCGTGAATTATAAACACAGATGTGACTGTAATGAAGTCAGTCACGGTTGGCGGCGAGATGTGTGGCAGAAAGAAGCAATTCACTTTTGTTTCCCAAGAGGGCACGAAAACAAGAAGTGTGAAGTATTTGGTCAGTTCTTATAAATGCCCTTTTTCCTGTGAAATAATAATTATTGTAAATAATTAAAAATAAATAAATAAATATAAATAGTGGTATAAATAAGACTATGGCCTATTTAACGTTGCACTTTTATACAAATCTTGTGTTATGCTGATTTGATAAAAATTTTAATTCATATTCGAAAATTAACTTGTTCATATTCAAATACTTGTTATTCATATTGAAAAAATTTGTTATTCATATTCGAAAACTTATCATTTATACGAAAAAATCTTGTGATTTGTATTGAAAATGCTGATAATGTAGTGTTACTATAGGGCCACTCTCATCTCATCAAGATTCGAAGGAACAACATACTCGTACGCCATTGCATTTTCTCACTTTCGCCCCCTGCATCTTTGCCCTTGCCATTCAGCCTCGCACTGTAGCTTCTTTGCACATTCGCCTGTGCAATTTCGCTTTTAAAGACTACATTAAGTGTGAAGGTGGTTCCAACTGTAACACCAATTAACAAGGTTTTGATATAAATTACAAGTTTTAATGCAGCGTTTACATGCCATAAAGTTTCAGACGATTGCAAATTTTTTCGAGAAATTTAATTCCATATTTTCGACAAGGATGAAGATGTTTGATATTGTCAGATTATTCTTGTTTTAACCTCTTTTATATAGCCAAATAATTTTTGATTATATTATATGCCAACATTGCAAATTTGCCGACTTTGTAAATTCGTGACTAACGGGTGCTTTTCAAATCCACAAAGAATGAAACTTCATAAATTGTAATTCAATCACAGTATAGGAAATGCTTTAAAAGAGATAAAAATATATCTGGATGATAGAGCATTTGTAAACACTCATACATTATATCTTTATAATTCATGTAATAGATGCCGAACTTGTCGGAATCGACTGTACCCGCTATGGTAGAAACTACCATTTACAAGGAGGTTATCCAAACAGGATAGCGGAGTGCTGCGAGAAACAAGGTGATTTAAATTGTACATATCATTAAGAAATTGATTACGGTTAACAAAAAGTTTAAATTTGAAATAGCGTGGTAGTTATATTGTAAATGAATACGTTTTCCAGGGTTTATATCAGAGAAGACCACGATTTATGATTTTTTTTAAAATCAGAAATGAAATTCATTTTACAGGACAGCGACTTGTTAATTGTGAAAGAATAAATGCTAATTTCTCTCACGTCGAAAATATCAACATCATGTACTTCGATAAAGTCTTGACCAGGCTATATAGGTATTAGATTTAATTTAATTCCATAAAATACAATAAACGAATATGACTATAACTTTATTTTAAATACCGTTATCATATCCTCTATTCGTCTTATTATTATATATTTTTTATTTTTCAGCTTTATAGATAAAAGCAACCCAATGTTATTTCAAATAGAGTTGTGTGAAGTGGAATTCTTTGATGTACCAGTACCCACACCTTCACCAAACGGAAATACTTCATCACCAGTCACGACGAAATCACCAGGTGGAATTCCTGTTTCTATGCCCACGGACCCTCCAACACCTCAACCTGTGGTATAGGATTGTCCAGTTTCGAGGAAAAGCAAAAGAAGCCTGTTCATGTTTTTGTCATGTATGAGATTTACTATATGACCATTAATAAAAACATGATATAGATATGAACGTTTGCTTACTTGTTTGATAACCAAACCCAAGGTATCCAAACCCTCAAAGTGTAAATTTGACAGCTCAATTTTTACCCCACTAGGAATTTTCCTAATAATCATAGAAAATCATAAAAATAATATTATTTGTCCATAATAATCACTCTCTCTCTGTCTGTTCTTCTGCGATCAATTGTCTTTTTTTCTGACAACTTTTTTTATGATTGCTCTATAAAGTACAAATTTAGCTTAGTGATTGAATAGGCAGTAAGATGTATTTTGGTGCAAAATTTGATTCTCTATGTCATCCGGTTTGGAGGAAGAAGCATTATCATATCTACATGTATCTCTAAATGGGAAGCAAGTTCGTCTCACTAGTACGTACGTATGAAATTCAAAAGTACAATCTGTTATGAATCTGATACACTGTTTTATTATCTTATAATAAACCTTTTACCATTTATTCAATATTTAACGTATATCATTTCAAGTATTTATATCACTACTAGTATTTGCTAGTTAAATGTTTCATTGCTGTTACGGATAGATGATACAAACCAAAAAATATGGATGCCTGGATTGGTATAGACTTTTGGACTTATTTTGGTTTATAATACTGTATAAGTGGAAATTTTAACGAGACGCAAATTTAGCGATTTATCCCCCCTCCCCCCCCCCCCCAAAAAAAAATGGGTATATGTTTTTAGCGAGAAGTAATTTTAGCGGCTTACTGATGTCAGAAGAGATAGCTGTAACAACCGATACGGAATAAATTGTTAGCGATATTCAAATTAAGCGATCTCAAAACCCTAGTCAAAAATGCAAAAATTGGATCCTTGCTAAAAATTCTGCTTATCCGGTAATACAAATATGAAATTTCTAAAATATTAAGAAATTGTAAACTTTCTATGATGTTTAAGATTCTACCACTCTGTAATCAATCTTACAAATCTATGCAAGTTTTTATCACTTTACGGCATCTTATTCCGAAATTTTGAATGAAAAATTAAAATCTATGTGGTTAAACTTATTCATTTAACTTCTATAAACATGAAAAAAGTTGTTGTTTAAATGGTTTTTGAAAGAAAAATTGTTTGTATCATCTGTCCTTAAGAGGGCTTGGTGGTTGCAGCCATTTTAGACTTTAATCCTTCTAGGAATAAAGAGCTCTGCATAAAAATGAAAGAAACTGCATTAAATATTATAAGAACCAGAGAGTATTTTTCCTAAATATGCTCCAATACTAGTAAATCATATATTTTTAAGTAGATCTGCTTGCAATTAGTTGACCACCTAGTCCCCTCAAAATCATCATGTTGATTTATTATAGAGGCTAACATTGATGAATACGTGTTGCAATTAAAAAATCTACTTTTACATGTTTAAAAATAAGTAAATATTCAAAATCAACTGCTACATGTAATACTAACAGGTGTTAAGAAAGTATGATCCACAGTGAATATTTTTTGCAAATTTCAAAGTAGAACTAAAGAACTTATTTTTCCAGTCTAACAAAATCAAAAGATTGTGCTTCCGATTTATAGCAATTAGTTTCTTGCAGTTATAAGTTAAAGGATTTTATCCATATGAAAATATATATAAACATCTTTCACATAGGTATTTGAAAGGATAAATTGACCTGTATACTTATGATATTTCACAAATAAGCTGCATCCCTGATTTTCCTGCACAGATATCATCTATTTCAATTTAAAACCTCATCAGTAACAAGAATAGACTCTGTGAACATGAAATATCTTATTGCATTTCTTTTCGAAAATGAAAGAAAAATGTGGTATGAACATTCTTAACACCCTTTAGGATAATCTTTCAATAAATTACGATAATATTCAGCAAGATTAGTTTATTAATACCTAATCACTAGATTATTCTTGGATGATCCTTTATCCCGTTATTGTCTTATTATAAAAAAGAAAGAAAAAATAAGCATTAATTTTCTGATATCATCTGGAAAAACTGCCATTTATGAACTACATGCTAGAAGGGGGCATGGAGACTATAACTTCTTGGCACTGCCCCGCGTATTGAGTCTCTTCCATGTCATTCTCATTGTACTTAGTTTATTCTAGTAGCCAAAGAAGGTTTCAAAATATAGCGGGAAATGATAGCCCCAGGGGCCCTCTACCTTGCCCCAGTAATGATTTGAAACACACTTCATAGATAAGGGGTATAATAGCTGGCCTTTAACCCGTATATCAATATACAATGTGAAAAACAACAAAGTTCAGGTTAGCTAACTGGCCCCTTCCCTTCCCTGGGACCCTTCAAAAAGCTGGCAAGGGATTCTCCCAAGGTTCTTAACCTTTCACTAGTGTTAGTTTGTTCTAGTAGCCAAAGATGGTTTCAAATTGAATGCTTGAAATACCTCCCCCACCCTTGGTACCAAATGATGGTACCATTACAGCTCCAATTTGATAACAGGAAATGATAGTTCTAGGGCCCCTTTACCTTGCCATAGTAATGATTTGAAGCACACTTCAAAGATTAAATTGGTATAATAGCTGACCTTTAACCCGTATGTCAATATACAATGTGAAAAACAACAAAATTCAGGTTATCTAAATGGCCCCTTCTTTTCCCCGGTACCCTTCAAAACATTGACTTGGGATATTCCCTTAGGACCACCTATTACCAGTGTAAGTTTGTTCTAGTGGTCAATGATGGTTGAAATATGAATGCTTGAAATATGTTCCCCACCCTTGGCATCACTTGGTGGTACCACTACAGCTTCATTCTGATAGGGGTAATGATAGTCCTTGGGGTCTCTTTCTTGCCCCAGTAATGACTTGAAGCACACTTCAAAGATAAGGGGTATAATAGCTGACCTTTAACCCGCATATCAATAGACAATGTGAAAAACAACAAAGTTCAAGTTAGCTAACTGGCCCCTTCCAGTCATTGGAACCTGTCAAAAATGTGACAAGGGATATTCCTTATAATTAAGGTCCTGAAAATTCACTAGTGTTAGTTTGTTCTAGTAACCAAAGATGGTTTCAAAATGAATTCTTGAAATACGTCCCCCACCTTTGGCAACACTTGGTTGTACTGCTACAGCCCCATTCTGATATCGGGAAATGATAGTCCTAGGGGCCCTCTACCTTGCCCCAGTAATGATTTGAAACACACTTCAAAGATAAGGGGTATAATAGCTGGCCTTTAACCGGATATCAATATACAATGTGAAAAACAACAAAGTTCAGGTTAGCTAACTGGCCCCTTCCCTTCCCGGGAACCCTTCAAAAAGCTTGCAAGGGATATTCCCTAAGGTCCACCTATTTCCAGTGTTAGTTCTAGTGGTCAATGGTGGTTGAAAAATGAATCCTTGAAATATGTTCCCCACACTTGGCACCACTTGGTGGTACCACTACAACCCTATTCTGATAGCGGGAAATGAAAGTCCAAGGGGCCATCTACTTTGCCCCAGTAGTGACTTGAAGCACACTTCAAAGATAAGGTGTATAATAGCTGACCTTTCACAGGTATATCAATAAACAATGTGAAAAACAACAAAGTTCAGGTTAGCTAACTGGTCCCTTCCAGTTATTGGAACCTGTCAAAAAGTTGATAAGGAATATTCCCTAAGGTCCTTAAACTATCATTAGTGTTAGTTTGTTCTAGAAGCAAAAGATGGTTTCAAAATGAATACTTGAAATACGTCCCCAATCCTTGGCACCACTTGGTGGTACTACTACATCCACATTCTGATAGCGGGAAATGATAGTCCTAGGGGCTCTCTACCTTGCCCCAGTAATGATTTGAAACACACTTCATAGATAAGGGGTATAATAGCTGGCCTTTAACCGGATATCAATATACAATGTGAAAAACAACAAAGTTCAGGTTAGCTGACTGGCCCCTTCCCTTCCCCGGGACCCTTCAAAAAGCTGGCAAGGGATTCTCCCCAAGGTCCTTAACCTTTCACTATTGTTAGTTTGTTCTAGTAGCCAAACATACCTCTTTCTTTACTCCTCACTAAGATATTAACAGTAGTGAAGGGGAATCTTCAAGAGTACTGTGCAACAATATATTCGAAAAGTGGTGTAAATCAGATGTGGATACCTTAAAAATTCCAAGGAACTTTTGGAAAATTTGAAATCACAAGATTTTACCAAAATCAACAGCTTAAAAACTTACGACTTTTCAACTCTATACACAACCATTCCCCACGATAAATTAAAATCCAGGCTTTTTGATATCATTGACAGCTGCTTTTTCAATAAAAATGGAACCTGTAAATTTACTTACCTTGTCATTGGTCTTTTGCAAAATTATTTTGTTAAAAAACATTCTGATTGTACACACAAGTACTCTGAAGTTGACATTAAAAAGATGCTTGAGTTTCTGATTGACAATATCAATGTGGTTTTTGGAGACCAGGTCTTCCAACAATCTATTGAAATCCCCATGGGTACCAATTGCGCCCCGTTATTAGCAGACCTTTTTTGTATTCATATGAAGCAGGATTTGTCCAAAATCTTATACGTGATAAGAGGAAAACACTTCAACTCGACATTTAGATATATAGACGACGCATTGTCAATTAACAATTGCTATTTCCATTCTTATGTCGATACGATATATCCCAGTGAGCTTGAGATAAAAGATACCACAGAGTCTGACACATCTGTTTCATATTTGGATATTTTACTTGAAAAAGACGTTAATGGTAATCTAACAACCAAGCTTTATGATAAACGTGATGACTTTAACTTTTCAATCGTCAACTTCCCTTACTTATGCAGCAATATACCTTCATCACCTGCATACGGGGTTTATATCTCTCAGTTGATTCGATACGCAAGAGCATGCTCTACGTATGCACAATTTCTAAAACGAGGTAAATTATTGACAAACAAGTTGATGAAACAAGAATATCAGCAGTCTTGTTTAAAGTCATCATTTCTTAAGTTCTATGGTCCATACAATGACCTTGTCAGCAAATACAATTGATCATTGAGTCAAATG